GCATCTTCCTACCAAGAGAATGTTTGTATCTCTCTGCCTTTTCAATACTCCTCTTCCCCAAATTCAACTGTGCTAAAAATAATAATAATCCTTGCATTTGCGATATAGCGCCTTATCATGACTTTGAGACGTCTCAAAGCACTTCATAGAAATATACTGTCAAGTGAATCAACTATATATTTTTGTGGGCGAAATGCGGCAGCCAATTGCGCGCAGCAGTGTCCCACAAACACCCGCAGATTGAGTGACCACATTGTTATTATTTTTTAAAAGGGATTATTACCCCAGGAAAAGCAATCCGCCAATCGACTAACAACCAGGTTCCTACTTATTGCTAGGTAAACAGAGGCATGTGGAGTAAGGAAACTTGCCTAAGGTTTCGCCCTGATCCCTAACCGCTGTAGCATATAGACCTACCTCCTTCTGGCCAGGCAGTGAGCCAGCTGGCGATAAATGTAGATTTAGTTACAAGAGTAATCTGACACCTTTTAAACCTGTTTAGTTAGAAACAGTTACGAGCAATTTGCTGAATGTATTGGAAGCCGGTGATCTGGTGTCGAGACCTTGGCGTGGTCACACACACACACACACACACACACCGTGGTCAGTAGTGAAGCTCACACACGGGCAGCTGGAAGGTCAGAGGATCGAATCCTGGTCGATTTGGGCCGAGTCCACTGATCTCGGTCATGGTTGGGGCTAAAATTGGTCTGAACGCCACTTAATTAGGGATAGGTGCTCATGCCCCCGCACAAACACATCCATTCATACACCACCGCACATGCATGCGCACACAGGCTTGCACGCACACAAGACGTACACAATTTTGAGCATTACACACAAGCATACAGAGGAATACAAGCGCACAGACACACACATACACGTACACACAGACGTGCATAACAGACACAAAGTACGCTGTAACGTTCCGTGTGTTTTCCGAATGTAGCTGAGCCCGTTTTCGTGCTCTTTTGTTCCTGTGACTTTTATGCAGAGGGAATTAATCCTCATTCCAGAGTCCAGCGCAGAGCGCTCAGGCTGGAAAAGCCTGACGGGAACCAGATGTCCGTTTCTTGTGAAAATAAATATTCTGTCTGTGTAACATACAGAGGACAGGCCAATCTCTGCTGCTTTCCTGCAATAAATATTTCAGTCCGTTGCAATATTTGATGGGAAATAAGCCCCAGCTGGGGACACCTCTTATCTGAAGGTTTCTGTGTATAATCTCCAGCACACGTTGCAGGGTCTCTCGCAGTCGCTACCATTGTTTTAGAAAGACTCTTGAGCACATCCCCATAGAATCACAACGGGGGCCGTGATCGTCGGTTATACTGGCACACGCCTTCCGGGAAGTCACATCAGCGGCGACAAGGTGACATGCCATTGTTAGCGGGAAACCCAAAGCGGATATAATAATAATAATCATAATCCTCACACTTGATACAGCGCCTTATCATGACTTTGAGACGTCTGAAAGCGCTTCACAGGATGCACTGTAAATATGGGCCACACACTGTTCCTGTTATTAGCAAACCCTCTATTTACGGTGTTAAAAGATTCTTAAAACAAACACTTTTTGTTCGGTCTGACATGTCCTTGTCCCTGTGCTCATGATTCATGTCAACAACAACAATAATAATCCTTACATTTGATACTGCACGTTTCATGCCAGAAGAGCATCTCAAAGTGCCTCACAGCATTCCACTGTCAAATGTCGTGACTGTGTATTTTGTAAGTGAGCAATAGGCAATCAACATCCCACAACAGCCGGGAAGATGGAAAAAGTCTTGGGTTCTAGGTCTTTGGGGGAGTATACAGGTCAGCAGTCTAATAGGACTATGCAACAGAAATAATCTGCTGCGTTTTCAACTGCTCTGACACTTGGAATTCACCAATATTCGGCAATTTCTCACTTTTCTGACTAATATTGTATTTCAGGTGTAATGTTATATATTTCTCGCTCGTGTTCACTACTTTTGAAACAAGATGTGCAGGATTTGCCCGTCACAGCGCAGAATCTTTGCAGCTTTTTGCAGTGTGCTCACACGTTAAAGAGTTAAGAGTTTGCCAGGCCTCTACAACATCAATAATATTAATCTTTGTCAGGAGAGCGCCTCACAGCGTTTCACAGGATTTTACTATAAAGTGTTGTGACTGTGTGTTTCATGACTGAGGGCAATAAGCGATTTGAGCACAGCAAAGTCCCATAGACTGTCAACAAGCGAGTGACCAATTTTATCTGGACCAGACCACTGGGAGAGAAACTCCCCTCTCTTTGTTTTTTTTTAGTCAGCCGGGTGGAAAACCCATCACCATTGCTTAAGAGTCTCCAAACCAAGCTGAGAATTCCATGCATCCCAGATTGTTGGAATGGAGAGCGCAGTCTCTCACTGGAGGGAAACATCCTGCTTATCTAATTCCGGAAAGTATTAGGCGCAGATTGGCCAGAGACAAAGCTTGGGGACCCAGAGTGAGCGTTGGGGTAACTGCTGGAGTCTAACCAGCTAAAACCACACACAGCTTGCCATTGATATCACTGTCTGGCAAGCTTTCCTGCTGCTTTTTCAGCTAGGACCACCCAACCCATTTCAAAAGTGTCATGGGATCTTTAACGTCTATTGGCTGAATACGGGGAAATGGTACGAAAGGGTGTCTTTGCGGACAATGAGGTTAGCTCTTACTGAAAGAGCAAGCATTGCGAGGTTGTCAGAGATGCTGGGAAACTAGTCCTTGCTTCACTCTGTGTACAACAGCTGTCTTCAATTCAACTTGCACCACATTCAAAGTCATTTTTCCTTACGTCAGGGAACTACATGGGCAATGAACTCTGCCGCAGCTGTTAAACTGTTGCACAAGATACAGAGAAACACTTTCATCCCTCGTGCGACATCTCTCTCCTCTCTCTCTCTTTCTTCTCTCTCTCCCTCCTGACCTGAGAGGCGGGAGCCTGCCTCAATTAGAGCATTCTCTCCTCTGGCTGCGATGCACCTTTGAGACTTGGAAATTATCAGCTCTATATCAGCTGCAAGGATTATTATTGTTGTTATTATCATTATGAATACTGTCGTTGATAATGATTGACTTGTTTGCCAATGAGGGGAGGGGAATTGTTTTAAACTAATTTTTTTCCTGTCCAAAATAATATTCTGCAACACAGCATGCTGAATATACACAGCAGGTAGAAATCCTACCAAGGTCTAGATTTACAGTAAACTCCTCATAACTCAACCCTGGTTTAACTTAAGTTGATTTGGATTGATTTGGAAGCTCTTTTCAAAGAGCCAGCACAGACATGATGGGCCGAATGGCCTCCTTCTGTGCTGTATAATTCTATGACAAGTCATCAAGTTGCCAATATCCCGGCTGGATTTCTGTATGTATTTGTACACTTTCGAGATTTGCCGCTCCTGATAACTCGTCACTGAGCTTCTTTCGCCTCCGGCCGACCAGTTATCAAGTTCAGTGGACATTTAGTGACAGATTCCTAAATGCAGCATTAATTTCCAAGCCAAGCTTCTTCTGTAAGGTTTTGTTTAAGAGCAGCAGAAAAAAGTGTTTCTTCAATAAATTGCCCAAATTCTGGAACAATCTGGAACCCGTCGTAAACAACAACAACTTGCATTTTTATAGCGTCCTTTGCGCCAGACAATGTCTCGGAGGTTTAAACAGAGTAAAGCTAAGCCTGGATGGGAGTTCCCCTCCCCCAATCTCTAACCCCCGAGCCCACACCCCCCCTCTCCACAGATGGGTCAGTAATGTTTGGATTCTTTCCTGCCCCCCCATCACCCCAATCTGCCCCAGGGCTGAGGTTTAAGCAGCCGTTCATTAACTTCTGTCTAAAGAGCCGCTTCCCACGGCTAGTTTTATTGCAAACAGTGTACAGTTGAATAAAGCCCTTTGACCCAGTTAATCTCCCCCCACCCTCCCCACTCCAGAACCCCCAGTTCACAGAAGCTAACTCAGAAAGAGCATTGACGTCCCTTTGAGATGCCCTTTCCCCCCCGGAGAGAAACGTACAAGGCTTCTAGAATATTCCTCGGAGAATTTGAACAACATTCCACCCCACACCCTCCGTCCACCATACCACCAGCCCCTCCCACCCGCTCACTTACTGTGAGTAACCTTTCAGTATGAAGCACCAAGGATTCGAGAGCCTAAAATAGAGGGTTTGAATCCTGGTTGGTGTAAGAGCCCAGTGTCGCAGCCTCTACAGCACAGGAGGCCGGCCTCAGGAGAGGGTATGAAAACCTGAGAGCGATCTGCTCTCTCCCTCCATCGCACTGCGGCGCTCAGCTCGACCACCATCTCCCCCGCCCCTTCATCTCACAACACCCCCATAACAATACCAAGTAATCCTGGAACTGTTAACACGGCGTTTCCACATGTAATAATCCCTTTTTTTTAAAAAAAATTTGGTTGCTCAATCCACGACTGTTCGTGGGACCCTGCCTTGCGCAATTGGCTGCTGCGTTTCGCCCACAAAATATACAGTCACTACACTTTACAGGATACCCTTTGAAGCGCTTTGAGATGCCTCAACAAAATTATAAGGCACCGTATCAAATGCAAGGATGCTAATGCTGGTGATGATTATAAGGGATGAGGCACTACAAAGAGACTTCTCCGAGGAGATCTGATAGAGATATGGACGTTACAGAATGGAACAAACAAAGTAAACCCGGAACAATACTTCGAGATACGCCAAGAGGGACAATTGTGGGACAGACACCAGAAAGTATTTCTTCGCACGAGGAGAGGGGCAAACAACAACTGGAACTGATCAGGAAGAAAGGGAGATTAAGGCCAGGTCATTGGGTTTCCTTAAGATACAGCCTTGCAATGAGAAGGTGGTAAGGCAGGGATGATATTCTGGAAGGGTGAGAAGGACCTTCTTCATTCAAATCATCTTGTGAATGCAAAGGGCTTACTCATCACAGTTACTTTTCTTTTACGGAGTCTAAAATAGGAATATAGGAATAGTGCTACGTTGTAATACGCACCATTTTCTGGCTGGTCCTTGATATCCTCGCTTCCCTGGCTGGGACTTTCAGACTGACCTGAATCTGAAAGATAAAAACGGTAAGAAAACCTATTAGACCATTAACGTGTCTCTCGTTTTGCTCAGGGAGCAGTTAAATCTCTAGACTAGAGCAAATGCTGATTTGGAAAAAGGTGAAGTGGGCGAGGGAAAGGATGGACGTAAGTGGGACTTGTTAAGTCGAGTTATTGGGTCTCTGGCCAGCGTTCATCTGTGGGTGACATGTACATGTTGCTGTTCATCTTGGTGAAACTTTGCAAAACATCAGGCCTTAGTCAACAAACCGATGTCCCTCACAACTCATCCCACAACCGGCACTTTGCGTCAACATCTCAAAGCGCCTCACAGAGACGATAGGAAGCACCAAGCAGAGAGACGAGAAAACAAGGAGCTTTGTAAGGGTTTTGACCAAAGGGACGGTCAAAGAGATGGATGTCTGAGAAGCTTCTGCAGGGAACGAGAGAAAGTGCAAGGCAAAGGGATTTGGGGAGAGAGTTCCAGAGAGGAAGGGGCATAGTGTCTGAAGGCTTGACTACTGATAGTTGGGAGAAGGGAGGAAGGAAAGGTGGGAGGGGAAAAGCACAGCATTAGAACAGCGGAGGCCATAAAGCAGCCAATGGAGCTGCAGGAGATTACAGTGTGGAGTGGGGCAAGAGCACGGAGGGCTTTGAAGGATCTTAGAGTGAATGTGAGGAGCCTTGTGCGGTTGGAGTGCAGGAGCAACAGAGTCAGGACCATGCCAATGACACTGACAGTAAAACAGGATTGAAAAGCAATTCCAACATCCTTGGATTTACACAGGAGCAGTAGAACCAGAACTGGATGCTCTTACATGTTCTGTGTACTTTCGCCATCACCAGCTTAAACCAGCTACACTCACTCTCATCTACTCCAAGGGTTAAGAACAGCCCATTGAGAAGCCCTGTTTTGGGGGATTGTTAACCAAGGATCGGCTGAACACAAGAGAAGAAATTCCCGAAAGCAGGAAAGTCAGGGATTGAACAAAAAGCTGCCAGAGTTAGTATTTAATTCACAACAATTGATTATAATAATAATCCTTGCATTTGATATCGTGCCTTATCACATCATTGAGACGTCTCAAAGCGCTTCACAACAGAATATATTGTAAAATGAATTGACTTTTTTGGGGGGCGAAACACAGCAGCTAATTGCACACGGCAGCATCCCACAAACAGCGTTTTTTTGAGTGGGGTGAGAGGGATTATTACCCCCAGAAAGCGATCTGCCATTCAACTAACAATCGGTTTTCGTACTTACTGCTAGGTAAACAGAGGCATGTGGAGTAAGGAAACTTGCCTAAGGCTTTGCCCCACTCGGGAATCGAACACAGATCGATATTGCCCCAAAATTCCCCAAATGGCAGTAACTCCCCAAAATAGCTGGAAAAATCTTGAGATCTCAGGAGAACGAGCCTTCAAGGTGGATAAATCCCATCCAGGACCAGATTTACTCTATGTACAGAACGTGCAGAAGTTGACAATTTGGTAAATCAGTTTTTTTATGCTGATTTTCTGTATGTTTCTCTGTGAAGAATCACTTCAAAGTTAAGACTAACTTCAAAGTTAAGTTAAGATTTCAAAACTTGGCAAATTATGGATGTTCTGAAATAAATGAAGGAAATCCTGATCCCTGGTGAGATTTCTCCCCCCACTCCTTCTCGAGAGCATTGTGAATTTACTATTTAATGCCACAACTGCCTGCTTAGCCACTCGACTGTGTTCAGCCCAGCAGTTACTGAGCTCCAAGGCTGACTGGTGTTCAGTGGCAGGATGATAAGTTCATGACATTGGGTCCATTTCAAACCCAACGCATTAACACCTTGAACCACAAACAAGCAGAAATCACCTTCCAGCCCGCTGGCTCACCATCGTCCATAGCAATCAACAACCTTGTTGTCTGGCACCAAGAGTTAGGCTTCAATCCACTCAACATGTGTGTTAGTTTAACTAACACCCAACTTCACAAAGTACTGAAACTGTTCCAAGATGACTTCAGAATCATAGAATCTTACAGCATGGAAGGAGGCCATTCAGCCCATTGCACTGTGCTGGCTATTTGAAAGAATTATCCAATCAGTTCCTCCAGTCTTACCCCATAGCCCTGCTATATTTTCACCCAGAATTTACCGGACAGACTTTCTGATGATTTTATATCCTCAAGTGTTGAAGAGGTGAAATAATAAATCATTCCGATTAGGCTCACTTTTGTGTTTATTCCCCAAATATCTTTAATAAGAAATATGGGGTAAACGTTTGCGCTGTTTTCTAAAGCATAACTTGTGAAGTTACTCTGAGATCCTGAAACCTCATCTTTCTGGAACAATGTCCCGGCAAAGTTTCTAAAAGACAAACAATAATAACCATCTTCAGGTTTGACATGGCGCAGAGAGCATCACAACATCTCAAAGTGCTTCACAGAGTTTCCTGCAAAGTATAGTGACTGTGTATTTTGTGGGCGAATGTGTCAGCGATGCACCACAAACAGCCATGAATTGAGTGACCGATTTTTATTGGGGGGGATTGTCGACCAGGACACTCGGAGAGAAAAACTCCCTTCTCTTTCTGAATAGCACTGCGGAATCTTTAACATCTGCCTGAGAGGCAGACGGGACCTAACGTCTCATCTGAAGGACGGTACCTCTGACAATACAACGACCTCCCCCCCCCCCCACCCAGCGCTGCACTGGAGAGTCAGCCTAGATTGTGCTCAAACGCCTGGTGGCTGATAGTAGACACTATGACAAGGTTGCTTAACATAATTTGCCTTTAAAACCCCCCTTTTCCTCTTTAACTTACTCTCTTTTCAAGTGGGCGGCGGGGGGGGGGGGAATTCCAAAATATGGCTGAGTATATATGATACTATAATAACATATTATATTAATAATAATAGTCCTTGCATTTGATGTAGCGCCTTATCACGTCTTCGAGACGTCTCGAAGCACTTCAACTAGCGACTGACACTGAGGTTGTGAACTTGCACACTGCACACAAAGAGTAAGTCATTTGTGGTTTGATTGTCAGCTTTTGACAATAGCGAAAATTTGCAGCGGGAACTGGAGGAAGCTCTGTCATTGAGGGGTGTCTGAAACCACCCATTAGTCTTGTGGTTTTACGAATGAAAGCACATGATGGAAAAGAAAGGCGTTTGCGGGCGGGTGGGTGGGTTGGTTGGGTGGGTGGGGTGGGTTGGGGGAAGGGGGCTTTAGACAACAAACACTGCCTGGTCACAATGCCAACCTCGAACCATCAAACCCACAATCACAACCATGAGAGGAAGCTTTTCTTCTGACAGTGACTCAGATGCACCAGTGTCTCTGAACCAGAACATGTAGCTTTAAATCCTCGTCCTAATTCCCACTGCTACTCAGCCAAGAACCCGCCACATTCAAGCATGCTTGACTCAGTCTGTCTCTAACGTTGAAACGTCTCGAAGCACTTGCCAGGGCCTCGCTGACACGTGTGTATGACTGTGACACATGATATCGTACCCTAAGTATCAACGGCATCATTTACCCCCAACATCTCATCTGATGGCCAGCCCCTCCAAACAATGCAATGCTCCCCCATTACCTCAATGGAGATAGAACATATGGGGAGCGAGCAACAGCACTGACGAGAGAGAAAATAGCAAGGGAAGAGGAGAGAGCTCCAATGGGGCACCACACACCAGCACAGACACAATGGGGCAAAGAGCCGGGAATGTGATTGCACCAGAGAGTTCCAATAGGGGTAATGAGCACGAACACAAACACGATGGGGAAAGAGTAAGGGAGTGCGACTAGAGTCGAGAGCTTCAGTGGGGGAACTAGCACCAGCGTGGGATAGAAAGATTTCTTGCCCTGTAAATATTCCAGGATCCTAAACCAAACATCGCAGCTATAATATATTTTGAACCAAGAAAAACTGAACGGGTTCAGTTTGGAATATGTAGACTTTTAACGTTAGTCGGAATAATCCGATTTCAAATTTTCGCTGTGAAACTCAAGAGAGTGAGCGAGCAAGAGAGAGCGAGCAAGAGAGAGTGAGCAAGAGAGAATAAGTGAGCGAGTAAGAAAGAGTGAACAAGAGAGTGGTCGAGTGAGCAAGAGAGTGAGTGAGCAAGACAGCGAGCAAGAGAGAATGAACAATAGTGAGCGAGCAAGAGAGTGTGTGAGCAAGAGCGCGAGCAAGAGAGAGTGAGAGTGAGCGAGAGAGAGCGAGAGAGAGAGAGAGCGGCACACAAAGCTTGACAGTCAGTTCAAACTAACTTCAGGCCAATAATGCATTCCACGTCCCTGCCCTGATTAAATATGCATTTGCGCAGACCCGATCGATGGTGGCCATGGATCAGATGACACACCTGCAGATCTCGGGCAGAAAGCCTCTCCAAGATCGCACAACCACCTCCTTATCTTTATTTCATGGGGCTCTCGATTTCTTCGCTCAGATAACTAATTTAATTCTCTCACCCTTCAGCGAAACTGGATTAGGAAAGTCAATACTTTCTTTGTGCTGCAACGGTGGATCCTGGGCTTTTTATTCAGCTTTGACCTTTCCACAAAGACAAGACAATGCCAGTGGTTCCTACAGTAAGCTGACGCTCGCTGAGCAAGCGAGGGGACTGGACTGGAGGATGGAGATTCCACACACATCCACACATTCACCAACACACACACACACAAACGCACACACACATGCGCGCATACAAACGCACATAATCGCATGCATACACAAACGCACACGCACACACACACGCACCAACACAGATACACACACCCTTCACCTCCACCCCATCTACACTCTCTTTCTCTAGGGAAAGTGAATAATCCGAATAATCCTTGTGTTTCACACCGCAAATTTGCATTGGGAAAGGGGGGGAAACACCTCAAAGTGCTTCGCAAAATACATACTGTAAAATATGCAATTAAAACCGCTCCAATGTTGGGTAATATCTTTGATGTTTTCCTATAACGGCCTTGCCCCTTCCTACCTCTGTGACCTGCTAACCCCAGAACAACCTGTCCAC